CTGGGAGGGAGGCACTGCCGGCCTTTGCCTCACGCGTTCCGAGTTATCTTTTATTTTTTGCTCCTCATTAAACTTTATCTCATCCCAGGCATTTTTTCCCTCGTGTTTGGTCTTGCAGTTCTCTCCCGCCACGCCCCGGGGATAAGGGAGGAGGTGCCTTCCTCCAGGACTGGGTCAACCTGCCTGGATGGTAAATAACCCTGCAATTAACAGCCGTGTGAGATGGAAAAAAATGGGAGCAATTTGGAGAGTTAAACGCTGATTTATTCTAAAAGAGAAACCTAATTAAACTTTCTCTGCAGTCAAGAAGAAACTCTCTTGTTGAAATTTTCAATTCAGTTGTGGAGCTGGGTTTTGGAAGAGCTTACTCATAATGGTACTAACACAGTGTCTGATAGACCAGATTAATTTATTGAACTGCTTTCAGGTTTTGCCTGCTGGGCGGGCCATGTAGTCTGATACAAGATTTTTCTTGAGGACCAGTTTATAAATAACATTAGTAACATATAAGTTCATAAGTAACATATTTGATTAGTGCAATAGTTATTGTGTCTCAGTTAATTGTATCATTAAATGTGGCCTCTCAGGTTTCTGCATCAGCAGCCCTCCTGAATTCTGCCATTTGGCTCTGCTTTGTGTACACTGTAGGGTTAAGCATTTTGATTCCAGCTCTATATGGTTTCTCACAAAAACCCCTGGAAGTGATTGCCCACTGAAGAGAAACTGCAAACAAAACTCTGGGGCTGCACCTGACATGGGCAGGCTGTGGACTGTCACATCATAACCCCAAAGAAATCAGATGCAATATTCTTACAAGGTCCTGCAGAGCACAAACTTTTTTTTTTTGTGGTTCCTTAGAGTGACTAAAGCAATACTTTGTTCTCAAAGTAGGATGGAAGAGATGTGTTCAGAAGAAGAGATGTTCAGAAGAAGAGACGTGTTCAGAAGAACGCACACACTTTGTATGGGGAAATTTTCTTTTTTAATTTACAGCAGAAAGAATATAAAGCATTCAGAAAACATTTTCCATATTTTAAGGGCAATTCAAAACATTTTGCATGGTTCCAGCAGCTGAGTTCTTCAACAGATCCATTGATTCAGTGATGCTTTACATGCACAGTTACAAAAATAAAACTTACAAAAGAGAAGACATCTATACTAGTTTTACATGCAAGTCTTGGGGACCCCCCATTGGGCACCAGCTATTGTGTGGAACTGCCATAAGCGTGCAACCAGAGAGGGGGTTCATGTTATATTCTGTATTTCTTTCACACAGTATTACTGCTGTCGAATGTGTTTCACAAAGGAGCGATTCTATTATCAGAAGACAGAAGATCTGGCTCCTGGCACTTGGGAATTCGAATTTTCCTAGAAAGCTGCACTTACTTATATCTTAGGTGAAAATTAAGTTCCACAACCAAGAAGAGGGATCGAAGAAATCACTTCACTGCGGGGGAGAGCTGCTCCCTGCCCAGTGACACACACTGAAGGGTTTCTGCCCGACACAACAAAGCACTTGGGAGCTGGGCTGGCCCCGAGCACGCCAGCAGTCCTGGAGCTGTGCTGCAGCACTGCCTGCATGCTCCACAGCCAGCACAGCCTTAAACGTTTGGCTGAAGCAGGATCTAGGTTAGTAGATACACCACCAGGCCCATGGATCTGGAAGAGTAAATTTGAAATAGCTCTGTATATTACTGAATGGTTTTCTGTAAAGACGAGGAGTTAAAACATTTCCACTGAGGTCACTACTCTTGTTAGGAACGGATCAATTCTATATTGTCACGTTATTGGTTGATGGGTGCAATATTTCGGTTTCCAAATGTCAAGAGTTCTTCCAGTACTAATACAGAGCATTTCCAATTCATTCCAAAGGAGATTCTTCAGCTTCTCCTGTTCTGTTTTGGCGTGAGAGGAGAATTTAATGGTTAAGGTTCCAATTGCAGACAGTAAATCAGGCCATGAGGCTGCCCACAGGCACAGTGTGAGCACCAGGCCATTTGTTTTGCTTTTTTCCCTTTTTTTTAAAATTGAATCAGGTCATAAAGCAGCAGTTCAGAAATGTACAAGAGAATTCTGATAATGAGCTATAGCACATCTACTGTAATTCAATGCTGGCAGTGAAAAGAAGTAATTAAAAACAGGTACAATTATAGAAAAGGCACCAAGAGCACTGACCCCAGTTTTTTTGCCACAATCTTTGTTTTTACTCTTCTTTTAAAGACACCAGTTTCAAAGCTTCCTATGTGTGAATATTTTTTGGCTTCACAACAAGCCTTGCGTTTAAACATTGCAGTTGGTGGCCGGGATCAAGCAAGAACAACTATTCCAAAACTAACAATCTCAAATTTACACAAGTTCATTCAGAAATTTTCAACTGCCACGAGCGAGACAAACAGACAGGAGCAGTTTCTGATCTCAGACACATGTACGTGACCCACAAGTAATGACACGGACTTCAGGAGTTTCTTCCCTTACATTCCTGTGTAATGAGGATCAGAACTGGTTCCCATTGTTGAGAATCTGTGACAGTTTTAAATTAGTAGCTCAATTTTAAAAAAAATCTAATTTCTTTGGCTCCTCACTATGTGGAAATAGCAATATACCATGACACCCCTACAGGATCAGTTTGCATCTTTTTTTTTTAAGTTTTACTTAATTTTTTAAAATTTTTTGTGCAATTTTTATTACATTTTCTGACTTCCAGCAGGAGATATGAAAATGTGAAACATATTTTCTACTTTCGTACTATTTATTTATTTTTTTTCATTTTATGTTCATTCTAAGTGTTCTTTATTGGAGTGAGTGTATGGTGTTAAGCTAGATACGGTTTTTGTACTCTTATGATTATCTGCTTTGCAAAAGTAACTTAATTTTCTTAAGCAATATTAGCATTCACATTACTTGGCACCATTGGCAAAAAAAAAAAGAAAAAAAAACAGAAAAAAAAAAGACGGGGGTAAAAAAAAAGAAGGAAGGAATACATAAATTAAACCCAACTGAACCAAACTCCTGGTAGCCAAAATCAAATGTAAACATATCCTTTTTTTCTTTTTTTTTTTTTTAAAGTAATGTTGCTCTGCCTTTTTTTTTCCTAAGTCTAAATACAGTAGCTCTTTTTTGCCATTTAGTCATGCTTTAGCAAAAATGTTCTTCTAAAGAACATTTAAAATAAAGTTTCTTATAGTGAAATAAAGTTTTTGTTTCATTTTACAGACCATAGCCACTAATGCTTTGCTTTGTTCATTTCTTTTTCTTGAGTTCATGCACATATCTCTTTAATATATACAATATGTACAAACAATACATCCACACTCTTCTCGTTCATTCAGACAAAACTATACAAATAATAATTTTATCTTGCCAAGTTATTGACCCTTTGTGAATAAAATATTTAGTAATTAATCAATATATTCCCTTTCAAATATTTTTTTCTCATTTTCCATTTCTACCTTCTATATATACAGAAACTGCCCAGATTTTGATGAAGTAGCCAAAATAAGAAATTTACTGGCCAGAATGCAGCACCACTGATCTTTAGGTGGCATAAAATGTCCAGGCAACATATGTACGTGACTCTGCAAAATGACAAGAGGTTTGACAAGTACACAAGAGAAAAAGCTACATGTTTTACAAATTATTTGAGAACTTAATTAAAACAATAGTACATGAAGGTAAGGCTAGAAAATAAAGTGCTGAATATGAGAGAAAGTACATGACAGTTGATATGTTTGCAGGTTCTAGTAAAAATACAAAACAAAAAAAAGTGTAAAACTTGCTTAAGCTGCTCTCTCCATTCCTCATGCAATACCCGTGTCTCTCATCCACCAAACCCCTCCTGTAAGTTCCCACGGGATGTATTAAAAACCTGCAGATTTAAAAAGTTGCATTAAGTGTGCTGTAGAGGTTTAAATAAAACACAAAGGACAGGAGTGCGAAGGAAATGAGGATGCATGGACCCAATAAAGATGTACTGATCTAAGCCCCTCCACTGAGACTCTCAAAGCTTCAGTTTCTTGGAGATGACTGACAGGTGCAGGAACAGCATTCTTGTGTTGCTTGTGCATTCCCACCTTTTCTGAACAATATTTTTGGTATAATATTTGTACAGTTCCACATGTTGTTTAATACAGCCCTATATGAAAAGGATAATTAATTAATCGCTTCTTCCTTCCTCCTCGGAGAATGAAGCAACTCACGATTTCCTCCTGGTGTCTTGTTTTCCCCACGATCCAACAGAAGATTGAGTTCCAAGATGTCTTGCTGAACAAATTAAAAGTTGTCCATGAAAGTGCAAATGCAATGACCAAAACATTACTGTTAAAATCCTGCAGCTGGTATTTCCAGAACTGCAGTGGGTATTTTTGTTGTTGTTGCATGTCTCTGCTAAAAACAGAAAATGAAAACAGTCTGAAAAGCAATGTCACATTGCTACGGGATGCTGCTGCGTATCTTCAAGTTCCTTGGCCTTTTTCAATTCTTTCACTCTGAAAAAACAAAGAGGAGCTATGTAACACTTCTACTACAAATCTCTTGCAGACAGAACAATCACAAGGATTCATCACTCCAACCTCCCGTGCAGAAGAGGCAGCTCCCAGAGACACGAGAGGAAGGCAGCACCTTCCCAACACCACAAACAGCTGGAAGTGCAAGAAAGGCCACTGGGGATCCCAGACAAACACCTCTGGAGAGACACACTTGGTTCCAGTGCTTTTCCCCAGTACTGGGATTCATTCTGGTGTCAGAATCTGTCTGATCCCTTGGGGTTCCCTGGACTGCTGGTCCTGCCTGACCCTGCAGCTGCTCACAGCAAAGGGGTGACCTTTGCTCAGTGCTGTTCCTTTTGTCCACACAGTGCTCAGGCAGTGACAGCACAGTGGGGGAAAATCAGCCTGTCCAGCTTGGAAAGGAAGCCTGGAGTGTACAGAGAACCTCACATAAGGAAGTGCTTATGTACAAGCACTGGTATGGGTGTGAAGAAAGGCACTTTGTTTCTCCAGTTCTCCATCTGCTGTGCCCTGTGTTTATCATGCTGCTGGCAGCATGGCTTGTGTTGTCCCAGCAGTGCAGGATGCTGTGTGCCAAGGGAGATGAACCTGCAGTGTGGAAGTCACTCCTCCTAGATGTGGCCAGCTCTGAACTTTCCCAAATGCATGCCATAATTATCTCCTCTAACTCATCAACACAAGAACGAAACCATCACTGAGAGCTGAAAGAGTTAAAGGGTGAAAAGAAGGGAATAAATTCAATCCCATCAAGCGGAACAGAGCTCTGCACTGGAGCTGGGGCAGCAGGAATAATTCTGCTCAAGCTAAGAACCTGGCTGTGTGCAGTGGAAAGGAGCCAGAACAGATCCAAAGGCAGTCCTGTGCTGCCCAGCTGTGCCTGGGGCTGGCTCTGCCTCCCCTTGCAGGGAGTTCCTCTGCACTGAGATCCCTTTGCCACCTGCCTCCACATGTCTGCCCTCTGCTCCTGCAAGGGAAGTCCCCTGCAAAAGGAGCAGATTACAGCAAAAAAAAAAAAAAAAAAAAAAAAAAAAAAAAAAAAAAAAAAAAAAAAGTGATTTAGCTAAGCCTGTACAGGCTCAAGTGCTCATGTGATGCTGCAAAACCCTGAAAGGACAAGTAACAAAGGTATAGTACAAAAAAATAGTGTCGGAGATGCAAGTCTGTGTTAGGCAACCAGCTACAAGTGAAAGAATGTAACAAATCCCAAGTAAATAAAAGCAAAAATACACATCAGGAGAGCTGAGCAGCAGCAGTGACAGTTTGTAGCTACTGTGCACAGACTTACACCCACACATCTTTTGGCTCTTGCACCAGCTTGCTAATATAAGGATAGAATGAAGGCTATAAATTGATCTCTATAAATACACCTCCATCTCACCATTTTATTTATTAATTTTTCTGCATGTACTATTAGTCAGAAGCACAGTGAAAAGGGAGCTGGCTGCTTCTACCTCTGTTTTAGCTGACTCAAAGGCTCTAGCACTCAAACGCATTCTCAGTATTTGTGAAATGTGGCCAAGAGGGGTCAAATCAGACTAACCTGTCTGCAGGTTAGAGCTTTGTTAATTATCCTAATTCCACTGCTGGAGAATATCATGTATGGAAGGAAAGACAGCTTCACAGAGAAATCTTCAGGAAGATTTTGGCTCTATGCAGGCTGTGGTCTAGAAGAGCCTGTTGACATCAAGAGGCTCCAGCACTGCACAGAAGGCAGCACAAGTCTCTAAGTTTGCTCTCTAAGAGTTCTAAGCTCACTGGGGTTTTTCATGCTGGGTACAGCCAGATCCCCTTTTCATTGCAGGAAACACAGGAGGGCTGACACAGCAAGCCAAAACAGTGACAAATGACAAGTTACTCATCTTAGTACATCTACTTTTATTTTTTTGGTGCAGAAAAACAGCCTCTCCCTTGAATTTTTAATTAATATTTCTATTAGTGCACCATTTAGGAGCAGGAGAGCCAGAATCCCTGGTGCTGTGCTAGGAAAGATGTGCCTCTGTGCAATGGACAATTTTAAAGCTTAGATTAGCTGTGTTTAAGGTACCATCAATTAATGCATGGTTTGCAGTGCAACTTCCAAGTGTTTTCTGTTGCACTTCAGGACTGTAATGTAAAATTAACCTGTTATTACAGATCTCTCACTGAGAACATGCACATTGAATAAGCTGGTGGCTCTTAGTGAGACATGCTATTCCTTACTTCAGCACTTCACATGCAAGAGCTACACTAACAAAGCACTTCCACTGAAGAATGCAAGACATGCTTTGCTGCAAACTTCAACCTACAGCATGCAATATCTGCACTGGTGCACAACTATTGCATCTGTTTGCCTGGAACACACATGCCAACAGAAGTTCATTACTGCAGCACTCAGCATTTGCACTAAAACAGGTCCTGGTTCAGAAACAGAATCACAGAATCATAGAATGTAAAGGATGGGAAGGGACCTTAAAGACTTTATAGCCCCAACTCCCCTGCCATGGGCAGGGACACCTTCCACTATCCCAGGGTGCTCAAGGCCATGTCCAACCTGGCCTTGAACACTCCCAGGGATGGGGCAGCCACAGCTGCTCTGGGTAACTTATTCCAGAGTCTCATAATCCTCACAGGGAAAAAAAAAAAAATTCTTCTTAATATCTAAACTAAAATCCCCCTCTTTCAATTAGTACCAGTTACTCCTCACCCTATCACTACAGTTCTGAAGGAAAAGTCCCTTTTCAGGTTCCCTTGTAGCATCCTCCACACTCTAAGGTGCTGTGAGGTCTCCACACCACCTTTTCTTCTCCAGGCTGAGCAGCCCCAGCTTTCCCAGCCTGTCTTTGAAGGGGAGGTGCTCCAGTCCTCACTTCACAGCATCCTTTGGACTTGCTCCAACAGTTCCATGTCCTTCTCTTGTTGGGGACATCAGAACTGTGTGCAGGACTGACAAGGGCAGAGTGGAGGGTGAGAATTCCCTCCTCCCCTGCTGGCCATGCTCCTGTGGATGCAGCCCAGGACACAAATGGTTTCTGGGCTGGGAGCACTCAGGGCCAGCTCAGGGGCAGTTTTTCATCAACCATGACCCAAGTTTTTCTCCATGAGGCTGTTTTCAATCATTTCTCCACCCAGCCTGTCTCTGCGTGTGTGTGTGATTGATTGCCCAGAGCCAGGTGTTGGACCTTGCACTTTACTCTGTTCCCGAGGTTCAGTCCCACCTCTGCAGGTCCCTCTGGATCCATCCCTTCCCTCCCACACAGCTCAGGGGTGTCAGCAAACTCACTGAGGGTGCCCTCAATACCCCTGGCCATGGCACTGACCAAGATGTTGAACAGTATCAGCCCCACTGTGACCCCACTCGTCATGGACCATGAACCACTGACCACAGCCCTCTGCATGTGACCAAGCAGCCAGTTCTTCATCCACCCAGGGGGCCATCTCAAAAACCATGTCCCTCCAACTTAGAGACAAGGATGTCACATGGGACAGTCAAACACTTTGCATTTCCAACATTTTCCTTGCTCAGGTGGGATTTACATCATTTACATGCAGGTGTAATTACTACTGCTGAAAACCAGACACAAAACAGTACAGAATTTCCCTAAAGGTACAAACTGAAATCTGCCACAGGTACATTACTGAAAGATGCTATTTAGTATGCAATGACTTAAAGCAAATCCTGCATTCCATAGCATTTACACACTTAGGCCTCAAGATGATAACCACCCAAATTCACTAAGCTACCATATTTTTTAAAATTACCTAACCACGTTTTTTATTTTATCTACCATAATTTTTAAAATTATCTAACAAATTTTTTTAAAATTATCTCTGTTCAATGCAATAGTGTGTGTGTGTCCCACTGCAGGTAGGTACTGGGAGTCCTTTATTCCATTAACACACTGCCTGGTAGATATGGAAACTTGCAGTCTGCAGCTCTCAGCCTCTCCTCCTCCCTCCAGAGCTGGCCCTGGGATGCCAGGGAAGTTCTTCCTTCTCCTTGGCACCTGCTCACCATGGGCTCTGCAGCAGGCACTGACAAATGAACTGAAATTCCTCCAAATGGTACCAAAAATGGAACCAGTGCATGGCCAGAGTGTCACTGGGAAGCTCTGAGGTGTTGTTGTGAACCCCATGCTGCTTCCTCAAACCATGATCAACAGGAGGTGCCAGAACCAGTGCATGCACCAAGGTAATCATTATCTGAAATGCTTTGTCAAGAGAACCTAAAAATAATTGTCTTCAACCAATTCTGTCTTGGATAGCCTGCACTGCAGCTTTTTCTGTGTCTCAGAAGTCCTTTCAGTCTTTTCTTAATTCTTCTTGAGTTCCTCACTCAGTGGCACTTGATTGGATTACAACAATAGCAGGGACTGGTATCTCCTCTTCATTAATACTCAGTGTAATAAACCCTCAAAACTTCCAACTGCAGTTAAAAAATACATGTTGACCAGGGAAGAATTTTGGACAAATCAGGACCCTTGAGAATTGAAATCCTCTGAGTAAGTGCTGCTAGGAGAGATTTTAAGTGAACAATATAGCACTGCCTTCATGCTATAAGGCAATCTTCTTTGGTTAACACTTTTCCAGTCTTACACTGAGGCAGGGAAGAGAACCAAAGTGTAGCATTTGCAGTTACAAGCATTAATAAACTGCTACAAGGAAAAGAACACTACTGGGATTTACAGAATTGAACAGCAGAAAGAAATGTTCTTAGAGAAGATGTTTCACCCCAGTTTGGTAGACTTGCAGTGAGATTATTTCTACTAAACAGAGGAAATGAGGGCAATGGAAGTGACAGCAGCAGGCCAGGTGCTGCTGGATGGTTGCAAATCTCTCCAGGAGTCTACAAGCTCTGTCAGGCTGGTTTGGATCACTTCTGGGAGAGCTGAATGGGGCTGGAGTCAGGACAGCTCAAGTGATGCCCAGAATGGGAAACAGGCCCTGACTTTTGCAGGTCTCCAAACAAAACGCACCAAACTATGCCAGCAGCTCTGAAACCATGCACAGAACTGGTTTTGGACTGTACAGCTGATTTTGCACTGATGAAACCCTGAACACCTCCCCAGATAACATTCTCCAGACAATAAGCACTTCTAAGGCACAAAGTTATTCCCTCTGCAAGTGCTGAAGAGCAGATGGAAGGAGAAAGCACGTGCAATAGAGATGACCTGAGGTGTCTGAAATCACAGCCGTGATGCTGACACACACAAAGGGAAGAGAAGATGATTTCAAACATGAGCTTTGAACCCTGACACTTGGGAGATACATCCTGGATCCCAAACTGCTCCAGCCAGCCAAAGTTTCTGCCCCTCACACCGTGTTGCTCACTTGGACAGTGTACAGGGGTGCATCACCATGTGCTGAAGCAATGTAGAAAGCAACAGCCCCAGCAAGTGGCAGCTCCTCTCCCCATGCCCTCCCAGTCCTGGACAGGCTCTCAGCACATGAACCAGCCCTACTCAGAGAAGGTCTCAGCAAAGGATGGCTCCATGGGTAAAGCATAACACAAAGCTGCTCCCCCAGAGTGACTCTGTAATGCCCAGCCAAGGAAATGCTGAATGAATCCAAATGCTGAAGATCAGTTCACAGGACAGGGTGCAAGAGCCAGAGAAGGCTGGCTGGTGAGTTTTACCTGTTGCTCTGAGAGCTGAAATAGCCTGTGGGACATTTAAGACAAGGGAGATCTTGCCTTTTTCCAGATACCTCATTTAGGCAGCAAAACAAAAAAGACAGAAAGGCCCAATAAGAACAACACCCCAGAGCATGCAGTCTGCAATTTAATACACACATCTGAGCTCCAAACACATTCAGCCCCTGCAAGAGGGAAATGAAAAAAGAAATTACTTTGAAAACTTTTGTTGCAGGTACAGTGACGCATATCCCAGTATGACATTTTCACACATTGTCCTGGACTCAAACAAACAGGACTTTCCTACCCCTTGAAATTTCCCCTGTTCTCCATCTTACTAAGAGAGGCAAGAAACCAGGAATCTCAATGCCATCTCTGCTGCACTGCACAGATTAAAACCCCATTAAAATTACAAGTCCTAGATGCACAGGAGTAGGAAAAAGTTTGTTGCTGAAATGCCAAAAGAGGCAAAAGTATGCAGAGAACAACAAAACACAGCAGACGTTGTTTGTTCAGGTATGAAAAGCAGCTGTACTTACCACAGAAATTACTTCAGATGCTACACACTTAACTCCCCAAAACTGGAGAACAGCATTTAATCAAACTGTGAGAGCATGGTGGGGCATATTGTACATGAAAGGTGAATGAGGACAGTTTTTATTACTCATTATCATGGGTAACAAGTGCACTTGTTCTGCCCCACAGAAGGTGGGCAGAAGGTGCTTTAAGATGGCAAAGACTCACTCCTTGTGATCTCCTCAGATCATCTCCTGCCGAGGGCAGGGCAGAGAGGGGCACACTGCAGGCAGCTGTGCAGTTTGTTCACCTCCACACCTGGACTGGGAGCAAAACTCTCTTTTGCAGGAAGCTACAGAGGATGGTTTGACTGATGTGAAGGCAAACATTTGTGTAGGGGGCATGGTGAGTAGCTGAAATCCCTCTACTGAAGTAGATTTCCTTGAAATGAAAACTGTTACTCAAAGGCAACAGCAACTGGGGTTTTTCCCCTAAAATATATTTTAATCTCTGCTGCAGAAGGATACCAAGTCTCATCTCACAAGAGTCAGCCAGAAAAATCTCCTGCCTCTTCCTCTTTACTGATCCTGGTCTAATGCCACTCAAATAAATCCAGAAAAAAAAAAACACTCAATTTGGAAAGTTTTAAAGCTGAAACCCAGGAGCAAATGCTGCAATCATTTCTCTGCACACTCCAACAGCACATGTGCAGGAAACACCCAATTTGTGTATTACAGACACATCTGCAGGCACTCCCTGAGCAGGGGGGGTGTGCCAGCCTGTGCCCATCAGCAGCCCTGGGCACTCTCCTGGTGTTTGTGCACTCCAGAGCACACACCCACACACAGGGTGCTGCCAGAGTGCAAAGCAGCACAGAACTTTTGCCATTACAGACTTACTTTGGCAGAACAGCAGCCAGTACACACTGAGATAGCTCACAGTTTACTTTTTCCACCCATTTCCCCATCCCTCACCATCATTGATCATCCCAGGCAAAACCTGCAAATGCTACCAAACATCCAGAATCTGCTTCCTGCTAATTTCTCACGTGCTGTCACATACACAAAGCCTTAAAAGTAAATAATTTCTCCTCCAACACTGACAACTGGCCTCTGCTGATATCAGGCCCTGCCCTCAGGGCACATCTGGGCCTTTGCCCTATTTCAAACAATTCCTACTTCTTCTGTTATTAAGTAAAAACTCCAAGTTTTAACTTGTAAAAGAACACGAACATACAACAAAAAATGGTAGCACAGAAGTCATAATTTGGAAACAAATGTCATTAGCTGCTCCTTTGTTAGCCTAAATAGTTAAACAAATGATGGTGTCTGCAGCAGGCCCAGGCTCAATTCATGCTCTCACTTTTGAGTCTTGAAAATGATCTCTGCAACTCCAAGTCAATAAAACTTGGTCATCAACAATGCAGTTTTCTTTTTACATTACATGGAAGCAAGGTCCAGGCCACCACTCTTGCTGAAAACAGAAGCAATAAGCACACAAATGTTGAAGTTTCTGGCAGCAGTTTTCTTTTACAAAAAACCTTGCTGCCCTAACAAACTCTCAGGTGTGAGATGGAACAGAGCAGCTCTGCTGGCACTTGAGACACATGCCTTGAGAAACCTGTCACAGGAATTCTCCTACTGATACCTAAAGATTTGTAGCTTTTTCATGTACTTGTACCTTTGTAGATTTCCAATATACAGTTTTATAGTTTCTAGCACTTTCTAAGCTGTTCAATAGCTAACCCTTTTTAACACATTATGTCACACTCTTGAAATTCTACTTAGTTTTATTTTCAAGAAAAGAACAAGGACATCTTGTTTTGCAGCAGCATTTAAAGTCAAAACAAGATACAGGGCAAAGAACCTCCAGGAGACACTCCAAGGGGCAGGTCTAGGGGAAAACCATTGGAGTTACCTGCTAGATACACTAATTAATTAACCTTATAAAAACTGTACAAATCCTAATCTTACCTATGTTTTCTGCACCTGAATGTTTTCATTAAAGAACTGCTCTTTGTATTAGCCCTTTAATATTGTTTGGAAAGCTTTTCTTTTCATTCCAGGCAACACCACCTCTTGCCACGCTGCTGTCCCACCCAGCCACTAACATGACTGAGCACACAGGGGAGGGGGCTCTTCATGCTGAGAATGAGACTCCCAACAGATGCTCTCCTGGCACTTACTAGAACACAGTTACAGCACCTTCACTTGATTTCTTTTTTTCCTTCCCAATATGTGGATTAATAAATGAGATAAACAACTGTCAAAAAGCTGGCTCTGTAATGCAACCAGATATGTAACTTACCAAAGATCAACTTACAGAAGATAAACTGGTGATTAACCACCTTTGGGAGTGAAGAGCAGTGTGAAGAGCTCTTCTGCAGAAATAAATCCCCATTTAGAGTGGGCTGCACCTGCAGTGCAGCTTCCTAAGAGCTACCCTGAATGCTGCTGCAGTCCATGACAGAGTTCACTGAGTGTGTGAGTGCAGACCCTGCCAAATTCCAACATCCACTCACAGCCATTCTGGATACTGAAAAAATCCCCCGCCAACAATGCCATCTGAGCATGCCCATGATGAATATACATGTCCTTTTTCACACATTCATGCACTGGTAACATCTACTGCAGAGCTCTGTCCTGTTACAAAAGCAGCAGTGTTAGTCATTGCAGTAGGGTTAGTTTATTAAAGATTCTTTCATAGAATTAATGGAGGTGAAACTTACTGGCATATCTCGGCCACAGCCCCATGCAAGCAAGCAGAAAGCAAATATATATTTAAAATGGAAGAGAGGAACTGGCTAGCAGGCAGCTACACTCACCCTTTTGTACAGCCTATGGTCCACCAGAGGGCTTTAGAGTGCAAAACAATACCAAAGAGCCATTAGACACACATGGCAGCAACCATACCTTACCCAGAGCTTCACTTCAGGGAGGAGGAGACAGCACTTCTGCTTGCCTGGAGAGAAAGAACCCTTCCCACTCCTGCCTAGGGACTCCTCTTTGCCAGGGAAGTCTCCTGTGTTTAGGTGCTTCAGGGCAGAAAGTTATAAGCAAGTAGAAAAAACCCAACACTGTCATTCACTGTGGCATTTCTGCTGCATCCTGCCTCCCCTGGCAGCATCACCCCTTTTCTACCTCATCCCAAATGCTACTCCACAGAAAACACTGCAGATCATAATCCCATCTTAGCAATGGTTTAGATACCTCCCAGAAGAACAAAAGTTTCCTACAAATCAGAGAAAGAACAGGGAATAGGAGGTTACCTTCCCAAAGCAAGCTGGCTGTACCATACATGAATTCAGCTCAGCAAATCCAAACCCATTGGAGCTCCTGGATTTCCTTGCAGCTCTAGATTTGTCACATCTGGGGATCACTGAGTAGGTGGAGCTTTTCCAAAATTACTAACTATGCAAAGCTTTGGTTCTGCCTCAGGACAGTGAGCCTGGGGGCAGCTGTTAGGGGCAAGCTCTGGGCTGGAATTTAGTCAATTTAGCTGACAGCTTTGGGCACCATGGGAAGATGAGTGAAGCTCTCCTGGGAAGCCAGGAAGTTTCTGTTTCATTCTCAATAAACAACCCTTCTGTGACAGATCATGTTGATACCATGTTATGCTGATGCATGTTTTTCACCAGATTTTTGAGAATATGACAATAGATGGATAAATATGGGGGGTTTTGTTCAAAGTCAAAAGGAAACAATAAATGTCTGACAGTCAGAATGACTCCTGCTGATGAATGATTCCTTTAGTCTCCATGACATTCAGCTACTAGAGCTCCAGTATCTTCTCTAAGAGTGTATTCAACTAAAACTTACTGATTTTCATGTATTTTTTATGTATTTTCTGATTTTCATCAACATCTATGCATCCACTACTCAGAGCTCCAACTGCAGAACCTCTCATCAACTCTCCCAAAACACCTGAAATAACTTCTGGTAGGCAACAAACATTAAATTCAGGAGATCAGATCCTCAAGGTGATCAAAATCACATTTGAGATATTAAACCATTTTGCCAAAAAGTTATTAAACAAAATAGGACAAGAGGACCATTTAAGCTGTTCTGAATGCAAGCAGACAAACAGTTCTCATAATTGGCTTAAAGTAGACTTTGACTAATTTTAAACAGGATAAAACCCCACCAAGCAGACAGTTGCCTGGAGAAACCCTGAATAAATCTCACCTAAAGGCTATAGAATAAACTCTTGAGAGTAATTTTTTGGCTCAACAACAGAATTTGCTCATGGCTGAAGCCTAAGTTAAATCACTCAATTTTTCAAAGGCTGAGTTTCTGAACTTTAAGCATTTACTGCCTTCTCACTTAGCTCACTCTCTCACAACAGACGGCAACTGGCTTTTGCAGCCTCTTCCTGCAGCTCCATCAACTGGCAGAAGTCTGTTACAAGATCCTGTTTGTTTGACATTCCTGTGCATGCTCTCTTTTCTCTCACTCCCTCAGATATTCCAAAAATAGCTGTCATTTCTATCCCTTGCACTGACAAGGCACTGTGGTTTAAAAAGTAGCTCCACAGTGCCATTTTTATACCACAGAGCATTAACTAACATTAGGTACTAGCTGTTATGGCTCACCCCTGGATGTTCAGGAGCTTGGAGGGCTGAAGTGTTTCTTTCTGGAGATCGGGGCTTTGTTAAATTCTTGTTTATAGCAGCAATGTGCTAATTTGGAATGATACAGGAAGATACTGCAATGAGATTTCAACAAGCAGAAAGAGAGTGTGGGCTCTTACCCCAAGCACCAGCCCATCCTCATCAGCTGTACCCTGTGAGAGTCACATGGAGAATGAAGGGATATAATTAGGAAGCTTACACAGAGGTGATCTGAAACTCACTTAGCATCCTAAGCTTTATTACTCTCTCCTTAGGAAGAGGTAAGCAAGAAAATCAAGCAGGGAGGAACAATGTTGTTATTGAGACACAAAGAAAATTCAGAAAGCTTGAGGAAGAGCAGGTGAGAAGGAAGCAATTCCACCTGGTACCCCAGTGTACCTGCACCACAAGACAGCCAAGAGAGAGCTGCAGAGCCAGGTTTGGGAAGGAACGGAGGTGGGTGCCCTCACCAGGACATGGCTGTGCCAGGGCAAGCACAGGGATCTGCTCCTCGGGACAGGGAGCAAAGAAATGAACAGGTCAGTCTGAGTCAGCTGAGATAGTGCAGCAAGTGAAGCTCTGTTCTATTGAGTAGATGATTTGTGTAATTTCCAGGATTATATTTTCCTTTACAGTTGTTTACACAAGCAAAAGGCTTCTGATCTGTCTTCAAAATCCTGTGTGGTAATAAAGCTCCAAGAACCTGGTTTGCACGGTGTTTGTCACTGACTGAGAGAGCAGAGGCTCCAGATCCCTGTGGGGCTCCAGCAGCCACAGAGCCCGAGGGTCTGTGAGACACTAAAAGAACACAGATGCAGCCCAAGTGTGCAGAGCATGAAGTGCACACTGTTGGAAACTTGGAAAATGGGGAATGAGACTCAAACCTGTCACATTTCTAAGCAGTTCTACAAATCTGCCAAATTTATGTATTTTTCAAGCAGATTCTGAATGCTGGTTTTGTTATTTTGCTAAGTCTTGCTTTCACTTTTAGCATTTACCAATGCCACAATGCTCCTGTTCTAATTAGTCAATTACTAGTAATAGTTACATTAACACAATTTTAAACTCTTATGATTGCTTGGAGAAATGCAACCATGCAACCATGACCCTGTGATCATTTCTATTTCAGAAGGTAAAACAAGGCAGTTTTGAACCACTGTTAACATCTTCAGTGGAGACAAGTCACTTTTTCCTTTTGTTGCATCCTAGCCAAGAACCAGGATTGAATTCCTGAGCAACCACAAGTGGTAACAAACATGGACATGGGACAGGACTGCACTGCTGCAGAACTTCCAGCACTGCACAGTGTGATGTTGACAGAGAATCCCCCCTGCTCCTGGATTTCTGTGTGGAACTCCCCAAGAGCTGAACCCCTCTTGCAGGGATGCCCAGATTGTGCTGCTGGAGAGAGGAGACTGAGCCTGGGTGCAGATGAGCAGGGTCTCTCTGCAAAGGGAAGAGGAGACACTGAGAAAGAGCAAGGCAATGTGCTGAAGTCAAGAACTGCTGGAATCAGGGGCAATTTAAGCCTTGCAGAATCTGTGTTACTCAACAGCTGGAGTCTGAACTGAGCCCTGCTGGGAGTGCATGGCACATCCTGGGTGCTGGTGGGACACTGGGGGTTCCACATGCCCTGGGCTGTGTCTGAGCTGGCTCTAAGAGCCTCTCAGGCTGACCCCAGAGACCCCATGGATGGAAACTTGGCACATGGTTCCCCCCTCAAGCAGATCTGAGAGGACACAGAAGTTCTGAACCTCCAGGACATGCTGCACAGCAAACACAACAAAACAACCACTTTGGTCTCTTCCATATGCCCTGCTGAAAGAGAGAAGCCACTTGTGCTTCTTCATCAATGACTGTGGCTGTTTGGAATCAGTCTGGGAACTACAAAGCCCTCTTTGTTGTCCACACATGTTAATTCCCACTGAACCTGCAGGTAAGATGTACTTCCACGGCATGAGCCACACTGACTTCCTAACAAAGTGAAGCTTTGAAATCCTGCAATAAGGACCGAGTCTGTTTCTAAAATCAGGAGTCTACCACATGCCTCTAAGAGCTCTCCTTCTTAAATGTCACTGGACTGAACTAAACATGCTTCAAAATGCATCAGGTGTGACCTGAGTGGATGAAATGCATGGGTAGTGAGGATGGAGGGGGCAGAGTCAGAAATTCAGGATTCACCACTGTCTAGGCAAAGTCCCAGTTTGCAACTTGATCATGTAGGGGATCCTTTCAGCTAAAACCCACAGCAAACACCCTGCTGGTGTGGCAGTGTGGCTGCCACAGGGGAGCACTCTGGCAAGCCTGTGCTGCTCCCATGCTGGTTCATTTTTGTGGCTGACGTGAACAAACCTGTGCTGCTCTTCTGCCACATCCCACCTGCCCACACTGAAGAGAACACACACTGCAGGAGAGCCAACCAAACGATTCTGTGTCCAAACTAAAGGCATTTCCAGCACACACCAGTTGTCATCACTTTTTGCACTTTCCCACATACCCTGAATGCTTTGGGCGGCACTCAGAAGCTGTAGCTATGATTTAAAACAAGCTTTGTTTTAGACTTTCTCAAGTCCAGCTTTTAAAGTCAAACAACCTGGGCTGTTCTACATTATAAGCAATGGAGCTGTACTCAATCCTCTTTCAGCAACAGTACTAAATAAAAAATTTCATTTTTTACAGCAGATCATGGAAACAGCTCAGCTTTGTTCTTTGAGATCTGTAGTGAGCTGGTTCTATTATATTTACATTGCACTCATTGCAGACACACTTGGGTATTGTCACAGTGCTCTAAGGAAGGGCAGATACCAAAAGACAGTGTCATACCTGTGGCGGCAGCGTCGTAAAAACCGCATAATCTTGCGAGCAGCTTGATCCTGCTTCTTGGTAAGCAGACTGCTTCTAAACACAAAAAACCCCAACACTGAAGTGCAGGCAAAACCGGGGAGAACACTACTAAATGCAAGAATAATTATCCTACAAACTGTGGCAGTGTTTGAGGGTCCCCAGGATGAGGGAAGAGATGAGAATCTGGACTCCGTGTTTCAGAAGGCTGATTTATTATTTTATGATATATATTATATTAAAAGAAAATTATATACTAAAACTATACAAAAGAAAGGAGACATCAGAAGGCTAACAAAGAATGAATAATAAAACCTTGTGACTGCTCACAGCCCCGACAGCTGGCTGTTATTGGTCATCAAGTAAAAACAATTCACATGCTGGGTAAACAACTCTCCAAATCACATTCCAAAGTACCAAAACATGGAGAAGCTGAACCTTCCCAGCTTCTCAGGAGAAAAGATCCTGGCAAAAGGATTTTTCTACAATATGTCAGTGCCAACAAACCACAGTGCATTTCCCACTGGCCTTTGTGAAGCACAGCACCAAAGCAAGACACAAAGATGCCAAGAGCATCCTCAGCCGGGGCTCACCTGAGTTTCTGCTGCACGATGGTGGCTGCCCGGCGGTTCTGCCTCCTCTTGCCGCACTCCTTGTAGCTGCGGTAGTACTGCTGGATCAGCAGCGCCGCCCGGCGGCTCTGCTGGAACTTCTTCTGCTCGTAGTAACTTCGGAATTTGCTCTGGATAAGAATGGCAGCTTGCGTCATCTTTTTATAAAGTGCATACTACAACAGAAACAGAGAGAAGCTGAGGCATCCCAGTAGGAGCAGAAAGAAGCAGGTTCCTACAGCTAAAGACTCCTGAGCTACTAAAATGTGATGAGAAGTTAATGAGTTACCTATTCCTTGACTGGGAGTGGTGTAAAAAAAGGTGACAGCAAACTGCAACAACTGTGACATTAGGGGCAGAGCTTGGTCTGCACCAAGAAAACAGCTATCTGTCTTTCTGCCTGTGGAATAGTTTGACTGGATTCATGGAATCACAGAATAGTTTGCACTGGGAAGAATCTTTAAAGGTCATCTAGTCCAACCTCCCAATGTGAACAGGGACATCTTCAAGGATATCAGGTGCTCAGAGCCCCATCCAGCCTGCTCCCATCCAGCAGGACCAAAAAGAAGCAGGTTCCTACAGTGAAATACTCTTGAGCCACTAAAATGTGATGAGAAGTTAATGAAGTATCTATTCCCATAAGAAAATGGTGGCAGCAAACTGGAACAGCTTTAAGATTAGGGGCAGAACTTAGTCTGCACCAAGAAAACAGCTATCTGTTTTTCTGCCTGTGGAGTAGTTTAATGGATTAATGGAATCATAGAAGAGTTTGCATTGGGAGGAATCTTTAAAGATCATCTAGTCCAACCTCCCAACATGAACAGGGAGATCTTCAAGGAGATCAGGCTGCTCAGAGCCCCATCCAGCCTGCTCCTGAACGTCTCCAGGGACAGGGCATCCGCCACATCTCTGGGCAACTTGTGCCAGCGACTCACCAGCCCCATTATAAAATCTTTCTTCCTTGTATCTAATCTAATTCCTCCCCTTTCTAGTCTGAAACTATTACCACTTGTCCTATTGCACCAAATGTCTGTCCCCATCTTAAAAACCAAACCCCAACAAACCCCCAAAACCACAACAGTTGTAAGTCTAATACTGAGCCTAAGACACAGGCAAAACAAAATCTCATTAGAAATCTGTAACAAGCATCCAATGAACTCACAAATTTGCATGAGCAGTCACACACTATCCAAATTCCATCTAGCACTGTGATTATTATTATTTCTAGCCCAGTGACTCCCAGTAAAGCAGGCACAAACTCTTAAAAAGAAAATCTTTCTTCTACATCCTTTTCCTCTGACAGCATGCAAGGTGATGACCACTTAACAGAAACCATGTGCATTCATGAATATTTTAAAGTCCTTTTTAAGATGGAAAAGAAGAATTCTGTATAGAAGTTGCATTTATTCTACTATAACAGAGGTTTTCAGTGTCTGCTGATCTTATTTTCTAAGTTTAAATAGTTTTAATACTTTCAAAACTGATGTGTCTATTGTTCCTGGATATTTTATCAGCTTTAATTTCTGCTCACTTTATCAGACAGATGAGTAGCAGCTACTGCCCTGTACAGGGCAATGTCCTAACATTTCTCAGTATTTTCCACTCTACTGGGAAAAAAAAGCCCAAAAGCAAACAGACAACCCTCCCAATATAACCCCAAAGCAAAAAACCCTCCAATATCATCACAAACAACCTTTTACCAAATTTCACTTTTTGGAATTGAAGCAGTCATTAGGAGCAGTTATATTTTGCCATTATTAATTTCTATTTTTTTTGCTGTTTCCTTCTTTTTTCTTTTTAACATTTTTAATTAATGGATCAGATTGTGATTTTAAATTTGCTGTTTTAAACAAGTCCACTCATGGGCTAGTAATGGTTTTCCTTCAAAGTGTTAGCCCAGATAGGACCTCTGTGGCTGAGTTAGAAACCCCTGAACAGAAGGGTTCAAATACAAACCATGCCATGAGCTGTGACTGCTCCAATGCAGTCACAAACCTTCACTGCTCAGTGCAGTAACAGATCAGAGGAATAAGGCACAGGAAAGAGAAATCAGCAGTCACTGCACAGACCAGACCCCACCATGTCTGCAGCTCTAAGCCCTGAGTAGCTGCACCCTGTCCTCCTCTTGTTCCTTTCTTCTCTCTGTAAAGGGGATCAGTGGAGATGTCACCTGAGCTGCTCCCCAAAGAGGAAAGCCTTGGGGAGCTCAGTGCCCAGAGCTCAGCTCTGAGCTGACCCAAACCCACAGGGCATGGGGAGCTGTGGATGGAACATCACCCCAGGGACACATTCTCTCCAGGAAAAGCACACCTTGCCTCCTGCTAGCCCTGAGAAAAGCTCATTTGACTCTAGAATCTGACCAGATCAAGGTCAGCTGGGAAATCCATCTTTCCAGGAGAGAATTACTGACTGTGAGCAGTTTAACAGTGGCACCAACAACTGTGCCTCCAGCAAGAGCAGCAACGTACTGAGATGCTGGATTTAGGAACTCAGCACACAGGTATTTCAAAGATGAATGGTCTAAATACTTCAGCAGGCAAGCAGAATGCAGAGGACACTGGCTCACAGGTGGGATAAATGTTCTGTGCCCCCAAATGCCAAGGTGACCAAGTGACAGCTGATCAGGAGCACTAAAGCCTGTCCTCTGGAAACTGCTGCAAATCCCTCCCAGCAGCTCAGCCCATCCCTGCTCATGGGAACTGATGCAACTGTGGCACAGCAGTCCTTACAAAACTCCCAGAAAGTCTGGTTTGTCACTGGTTTCTCAACCACAGGCATTTATTAGTGGATGCTATTAAAAGGTTTCTCCAAAATGCAAGGTTCTCCTTGTTTATACTGAGTGTGACAATTAGTGACCCAGAGGGAACTGTTTCCAAAATAGTGTTTGTATTTGTATTACCTTCAAGGCTATCCAAGTAAGCTTGGGGAGAAACAGAAAAATACACAGTTAATGTTAGTTCTGCAAATAAAAATGCAAAACAAACCAAAAGACCCAAACAATCTTCTTGCAGAAAGAAGTGATTCCAGGATCCAAGACAAAGCAATTTTCAAGCAGTTTTTGAATGGAATTAAGCTTCCCTACTACAGGAAGCATCACACCAGAATGAAAGCCATGTGATGGGTTGGATGTGAACCCCAGTGCAGTCACCTAACACTAGAAAGACTTCCCAAATAAATGCTTTTGAGGGTTGTAAAAGAGCATGAGTGTCTTGCCTCACTTTCTGTTACCATGCTGCCAGGCATTAGACAGATTGTGTCTAGCAGGGTAAAAAGTGTGAAGAGGAATGTGGGCTCTAGTCCTCACCAAAAAAAACCAGAAAACCAAACCAAAAAACCTCCAAAATGAAACAAAACAAAAAACCCCAAACCAACCAAACAAAAAAAAAACACCAAAAAAACAACAACAAAAAACTAACCAAAAATCAAAAAGGAAAGGTATCTTCTTTTTCTGGGGTTGAGAACTCAGCCTGAAAACATGTCTCCAACCAGAGTCTGGAGAACAGTCTCAGTCCTGGAAAACTTGCATCAACCTACAACATGTGACTTCCCATAGTTTAAAAGTTTAGTATGTGCAAAATAAAACAACCTATTTTGCATCTTCACCTTTATCAAAGGCAAAACCAACTTCAATTTCACAATGAAATTTGGCAAGCAACTAGTCAGAGAATCCTCAGGCTGTAGCATGCACAAAGGCCAATATGGAATACATCACAGCCCTCCACCTCACAGCAAAACCACAGGCATCATCACAAACAAATTTAAGGATTCCCTCCAAAACTAAGAATCAGAACACAAATCTTCTTCCCTTTTCAATTTTGCCTGAGCAAGGTATTTAATTACTGCATGCTGAAAAGCACAGGAGAGGAACAGTGGGACAATGGCCACTGTTGGGGTGGGCAGGGGTGCATTCATGGCACTTACATGAGTTAATAAGATTTTACTTTCTTGATTACCTGTTTGTACTTTCGGTAGCAGCGCTGAATAACAGCAGCAGCCACCTCCTGCTGTTCCCGGAGAGGACGACCCTGTGGGGACAGAGGAAGGAGCAGCATCAGGCAGAGTGCACCAAAACCCAGCACAGGTGACCTGGCTCCCGTCTGCTTGCAGGGAAAACCTCTCCTGTCAACCCTGCCTGCTCCAACTCAGGCCTAGGCATCTCCTGGAGATGCCTCTGCTGTCAGCTCATGTAAGGAATAAACCTTCAAAATGCCACTTTACACCAAATGGGCAACTAAGCAGAAGTTCTGGGGTACTGTTGGAATTCAGGACATCCCTCTGGCTGTCCTGGGGGCTCAGAGACCCTGGCACAGAGCCCAAGACACCTGTGGTTTTGATTATGACCCATGGAGCAAATTACCACCCTTATATGAGGATCTGCAAGCCACAAAAGTCTAAGTAGAATAATAATCCGTTTGTCACAGGGTGAAAAAATAGATTTTTTGGGGTTTTTAGAATTGGGGTTCAGGGGGCAAGATGGAGGAATCTGGGCATGTCCAGCCTTTCTCCTTCTTCTTCTTCTTGGCCTCCATCTTCTGCTGTGATGTTGGCACTTTTAGATGGGTTTAGAGTAGAAGCTCACTGTCTAACATAGGTGATAGGTATTGGGAAGTTATGGTAAATAGTGTACACGTAGTTTTTAATATAAAAAGATAACACTGCCTGGGGGCAGGCAGAGTGCCTCTGTCTGTCCTGCTGAGCAGACCTTGGCAGGCCAGGAGAAAGAATTTTATAAATAAGAAATAATAAACAACCTTGAGAACGAGAACTGAAGAGTTCTGACTCCTTCTCTGACTGCTGGGCTGGCAAAAGAGACTTTCTAACCTCTCTCAGGGTCACTCTGAGCAGCTAAAGTCCCAAGAGGGTACTCTACATTTTGAGGATGTGCTTTGTGAGGGCTGCTCTACCACAGCATGGCATGGCATGCACTTCCCACACAGTACTTGTTGGGCAAACATCAACAAGCAAATGTCAGAAGCATTGAAAAGGTTGTGATAGAAACTGTATTTTTGTCCCTGGAGTAGATATTACCCACATTTTGGTTTGTAACGAATTATACTCTCTCTCACACCCCCATCAAGGAAGACACTGGATGTTTGAGCCACATACCTTGTATTTCCTGAATACTGTCTGGACGAGTTTGGCAGCTTCATAGAGTTCTCTCTGCTCATGATCAGACAGAGTTAACTGTGCAAACTCATTTTCTACCTTCTCGCTGGTGGATGCACTCAGAAATTCAGACCAGTCTGCTGCCGAGGGAAGGCTGGGTTTCTCAAAAGCTATTTCACTGATTGGAGAGCCTGCAGGGCTCAAGCTGGTGTTCGAAGAAGGGGTCAGGGGTTCACTATACAGACTTCTGAAATACCAATCACAGTAGGAATTATTGGCTTACAAAGCACTTGGGTTTGCATCACAGATAAGGACAACAACATTTCTGAGTTCAAGACAGAAGTTTATGCTCCTGTCTCTCTCTCCAAGCAACATCCCACACCTCTGAGCCTGCCTATCCTGCACTGCACAGATGTGGTGCTGGAGTGAAAACTCCATTCCATGAATTTGTAACTGTGTTGGCAACAATACATCTGAGCACAAGAGTGTGCCAGTAAGGCCAGAGCTGAGCCTCACTGAGAACTGGCACCTGCAGGCTGAAGAGGCAGAACATGCTGCCCAGTGCTCACACCACACCAAAACCCAACCTCAGAGCTCTCACTGACCTGATCTGTGCAGCACTGGGCAAGTGATCAACATCAGCAAGGTAACTGGCCAGCCAGCTCATGGTGGTGCTCATGGCAGCACTGTCTGTCCTCTCCACCAGCAGCGACTCCATTGGCACAAAATTCTCTCGCTTGATCCTGTCAGGCGTAGCTTCAATGATGTGCTCTGCAAGTGTCATCATGTTCACCTGCCAAGGGGGAAGGAACAGCAAACTTTAGCTGCCTGTTAGAAGGTGACTTGTGCTTCCATGTTACAGCCCAGCCTTAGACACAATTCCCCATTTTGCTCAAATCTACTGTTTGTTAATGAATTTCACTCCACTGTTGAAACAAGCGTTCATTTGATTTTCTGATTCTTCAGACCAAGCACTGCAGGGTTTCATATTCTCTGGACCTCTTTTTCCCTTTATGGGGAGTCCAAAAGATCTGGAGAAAGGTTTCTGGGCCCTCCCTCTACAGCTGTCACTGCTATGTTATTTCCAAAAGAAATGTGACTTTGCCACTCTTGCTGAGATGTGCAGTAGAGCATACCAGGACAACGAAGGCACATCAAGAGAAGTTAAAAATCTTGGGACAAAACATTGTCAGGAACCCCTCTGAATGGTATCCCTCAGCTCAGCAAGTTTCACAGGAATTTTCAACTCAGAATAAAAACTCTTTTTGTTTTGCAATGCTCTGCTTCACCCACGTTACACCAGCCAGAGAACACGCAGAGATGCCAAGGCAGAACAGGAAGGCTGTGTTCCCATTACCCATTTGCTCAGACAACCACAGTATCTTTCTCCCTGTGACTACATCTGATATATCTCTCCTGCTTCTGTTATATTTTTATTTCCTCTATTTCATACCTAGTGGGATTCTTCCTCCCAAATCCACTGTCTCTTCCACTCTCCACTCTTTCCTACCTCCTTCCCTCTGAAGTGCAGAGGCCAGACCTGTAACCACAGCACTACCTCTCCCACATTGTCTTTATAAGGACTTCTGCCCAGTTCCCACACGACTATTGGGCCACCTGAGTCACATGCACTGCTGTGATCAGGCTCTGCTTTCTCCTTTTTCCTTGCATGTCTGCAAACAATTTTGTGCATTCTGTAAGCTGTTGAAGTGTACAACCCTAAATGCTAACCATTAGCCTTTATATCTGCACTGAAATTGGAAGAGAGTACATTGACTGTGTGACCACCTCCCTTCCTCAAAGCACAATTCAGAGTCTCTAGAGACCTCCAAGGGAGTTTCTCATGGTCAGGATCCTCTGTGCAGCCTCCATGCTGTATGAGACTGCTGATCCTGGATCTGTGGGTGTGTTTACCTGCAGTTCATCCATGTGGTGTAAACAGTCCTCATCCCCTGTGCTGTCCCTGTAGGACAAGAGTTCTGCATCCACCATCTCCCTGTCGGCCATCATCAACACATTCATCTGCTCCCGCTGGCGGAGCCGATGGGCCACGGCCTCCTTCCCCTTCTGGCTCCCTGCCACCTGCACTGCAGACACACCAATATAAATGTCTTTTGGGTTCCATTTGATGCCTGCTTGGCTGCCAGAGCCCCGGTACCCAGTAACTTCTGGGATGTGCTGGGAGAGCTCCCGGCCATAGTCCCTCAGCCCTTCACTGGGGCTGATTGTCTCAGTGGAGGATTGCTTGGAGCTGGAGTTCTGCTTCCTAATGCTTGGCTGTTCCAGGCTCAGTGCAGTGGAAAGCAGCTTCTCTTGCCGGGCTTGAAAATACTCAGGGCTCAGCTTATGCTTTTTGGGTGCAGGGTAATCTTTCTGAGTCTCACTGCTGTAATAGCTGGAAGGTTCTGATCTTGGCCGCCTCAGCTCTGTAAACAAACAGATCAATGGTCAAAACTAAACATGCAACTCACAACTGCTATAGGAACATCATCAGCTTCTGCCTCAGGCCAAAGTTTGTGCTGTGCTCTATGAACACCTGACAGGATGTGCAAAGGGAGTAACAACCACCCAGGGAGGATACTGTCTCAGCTACTCCTAAGACACACAAGCATTTCCAAAGCAGGCATTCACTCCTCCTGATGCTTATGCAAGGGTATGTAGCACCAGAAAATAATTAATCATGGACAGCAAGGCTACAGGTAGAACCTGCTGCCCTGGTGAGCTCCTTGTCCCCACATTTTCACACCTTAAATGTCAGCAAAATGGAGCACACCCTCCAGGATGCTTTACCTGTGTTTGTACTGGAAATCACTGTGACTCCCTTCTGAGGCTCCTGAGAGGCAACAAGCTCACTCTGCCACTGGGACACCCAGCTCTCTGTGTTGGAGTCTGTGCTCGAGGGGCACTGAATCCTGGGGTTCTGCCCAAGCTGAGTTTGCTCATCTCTCTGCAGCTGCTCCAAGCACTCTGCCAGCTTGACGTGGCCCCGGGAGCGAGCGATGGCCAGGGGCAGCCTGCCCAGGGAGTCGGGGATGGAGATGGCGCGGCGGTCCCACTTGTACAGCACCACTGCTGCATCCATGTGGCCCAGGGCACAGGCCCACATCTAAAGAAGAAAAGGTAACTGACCCACTGGAGACCTGCCTTCTCCTGTCTTGTTAATCCCAGCTCAAGGAAAAACTCTTCTGATAGACAAAACCATGACATGCTCAAGGGCAGCAGATCATGTTTATCAATGTCCTAACCCAACAAAACCAACCCAACATAGGGGACTGAATACATCCTATTCTCTTCTATAACAGAGAAACCTCCAAATAAAGCTGACAGTTTGGTTTCTTCTGTTTTGGGTTTTTTTAGTGACATTGACATCACTGCAGAGACAGAACATTATACACAAAGGAATCTGAGGTCAGGAACATGCAGTCAGGACCAAAGGTTGGAAGCCATAAAATCAATACTGAGTTGTAAATTGGCAGTTCTGGTTCCATTTGTTCTGGCTTTTTGCTTGTTTTAGTCCTCAGTCATGATTCATGACTCCAGAGACCAAGACAGTTTATAACTTTACAACCTCTACAGTTAAACAGTCACAGAGGACAATGTGAAAGAAGGCATGTAAAGTCCTTTTCACACCCTGATAGTGGAGACTAGATTCTATGTAAAACACTAACCAGAACTGTCTCCTTTCCTCATGTTTCTCAATGACAAAGTTTTGTTTTGTGTGCCCTCTCTCAACAAAATGGCAGGAAGCTGGTGCCACTATGCCTTACCATTTACACAGCAGGAACATCCACTCTACAGAGTGTGCAACACTTCAGGAAAATGACAAATCATAAAGAACTCCCCAAAGTGCTCTCAGACTCTCTCAGAAGTTTCAGACCCTGCTCTTACCAGAGGAGTGCAGGAGAAATGATCCACATTCAAAGGGTCAACTTCCAGCTCCAGATCAATGCTGTCTGCATGTTTGGTGCTGCAGGGGAAACCAGAGAAGGAAAGATGCTCTGTAACCATGTCAGGATCATTGTCTAAGCAGAGATTTATTCAAAGCTCTGTACCACAGAGAAGAGGTCACACACATGTATTTACTACATGACCACAACAGGTGTATTTACTACAGACAGTGCCCCCACCACAGGCATGGAGAGCACAATAGATCCAGCAGCTCTCAAGAGACAGAGAGGTCAAGAGGTCCCATCAGATCAGGGCATGGGAACAAGTTCAAGGGCATGGCTCTTTGTACAAGACACCCAGAAATGTGGACTGAGCAGAGTTTATAGATGCTCCTGCCATGCCTGTGCTGACAGCCCAGAGTCCAAGGCTGGGTCTTACCGCCACTTGATGAGGGTCTGGATGAGGGTAGCATAGCCCTGGGCAGCAGCCAGATGGAGCAGGGTCATTCCTCGGAAAGTCTTTGAGTGGATCAAGTGTTTGGACTTCGCCCAGCACGCGCGACTCATCATCTTCTCACACACCACCACCACACGGCTCTCAAAGCAGCTGCCCAGGGTCCCAGTCCCAGAAACGCACTGGAACACCACACACATCCCAGTTAACCACGGAGAGGAATGGGAATGTGTCTCTCATTGACTGAGTGACAAAACTATCCATTGTCCCCTCAAAAAGAAGCCCAGAAGTTTCTCTCCTCGATTAGGTGAAAAAGACACCTCATAAGACCTTGGAGACTTCACCTCAAACTTAATTAGACAGAAGCCAAAAAGTCCCACCTAAGGAATTTACTAGAAATTCCACCTAAGCAATTTACTAGAAATAGAAGAGAACAAAGAAACTAATGCTTTTGTGAAGTGTTTTACCAGGAGCAAGAACCTCTTGCACCTAGCTCGGTTTTTCTCTGTTTGTTATTTTGCCTTTTACTAAACCTTGTTGTTTCCAACACTGCAACAGGAGCCATCCTGCTGATTTTATGCCTCCAAAAGTAGCTGAGCTATCTTAGGTGAGTAAAAGACCTCCAAGAGCTTATGAGACCTAGCTCAAAGAAGCTCCTATTACTGAAAGGAGATGCAGCTTTCCCTGAACACGCAGCCTTCCTCTTCTACAAGTACTGAAACAGTAGCAAATGTGACCAAAAACCAGCTGCTGTTAGACACCCACAAACCAGACTTGTCACTTAGGACAAACTATAACCCTTTCCAAACCCCACCTCACAAAAAAACCTCTGGTAAGAAAGCATAAAGCTGTGTCTGGACACTGAAGGGTTCATACCTGCACCTGTGTTCCACTGTTCCCATTCCCATTGCTCCCGCCTCCCACTCCTTGTTTGTGTTGCTGGGAGCCTGTCATTTCAGCCATTCTCCTCTCCATCTGCTCCAGTCGCTCCAGTATGGACATCCTGAACTGGTTATCTGGGTTGGAGAAAGCCACAGTAAGGACATTTCCATGGAAAGGAAGCTCAAGTCACAAAAAGCTATTCTGGAAGTGATAGAGGAGGTTTGCTCTGCTTGGAAGCGCACACACACACTTGCTCTTCATCCTAGTTCTTCCACCTCCTGCAGCAACCCTCTGACTGCAATTCCAGAGAACTTCCTTGCAGAAACAGACAGAAAAATGAAAAATGAGGGTAGAGGACAAATCCCTTTCCCTTTGAGTCCAGCTGTAGGCACACAATACTAGGGGTAATGCAAAGTCTTTCAAAACACAAACTCTAAGCAAATATCCCCATTCATTGAGCATTTCAGTAAGATGACATCTGCCATTTTAGAGTCAACCCTTCTTTATAACAGTCCTGAATTCAGCTTGGCCTGCCTCCTGGAATCATGCAATAATGGTATCTGGAAGAAAAAGTCTCCACTGCTTCCTTCTGTGCTTAGGAAAAGGAGCCCTTAACAGGGCATTTTCTCCTTCCCTGGCAGGTTCCCTTTCTTGGAAAACAGCTTCAGCCAAGTGCCAGAAACAGAACCACCACAATTTGGAGTATGGGCACTGACAATCCTGTAACACCACTCAAACTCTGGAGCCCTCTGGTCCCTGCAGAAATCTGTGTTACTGATTTTCCCCTCATTGTATTTTAACACAGCACTATCCTACAGCTCCTAAGGCTTGAGTGGTGGAGCAGGGAGGTTCAGACAGATTAACAGATCATTGCTGAACTGATTCCACAGAGATCAGCTGAGGGAATGATTCTCTGGATAGGGCCAGTCAGTGCAGAGGGAATGGCTGCAAATGCAGAGCTCCTTCTGCAGATTCATGCAGCTCATGTGAAGCTGGGCAGGACTGTTTTGTGCAGAGGAACATTTAATGAATCCTGATATCATGCTAAGAGCACAGGTAGTAAACTCTAAGGGAGAGACAGCCCCCATACTGTTCAGTTTCATGCATCCATAGAGATGGTGTGGTGGTGCAGAACACTCATAAACCCAGAACCACTCCCAATGACAGCAAAAGGAGTGTGTGCACCAAAATAGACACGCTCTGATGAGGTTTTAAACATGTCAGTCTTCTCCAAGAACACAGAGCCCTCCCTGGAAGGCTGTAGGAGTATTCTATGCTACACTGAGGCACAGCTCTCAGCAGAAGGTATTGGAGAGATGTGGATCTCTGCTGAGCTGCACGAACGACAATATTGCAGACCACTGGTACAAGACAGCTCATCTCCAGGGGCTGGAGACATCCCCTTCTCACCAAGAGGCTGCTGTGGTCTGACAGCAGGCAAGAGCTCCACTCCCTCCTGGCCAGCTTCAGCATCTCCCTCCGGCTGCTCAAGGGCCAGGGACAAAGGACTGTGGCCAGCACCTCCCATCTAACCTCATGTCAGAGGTGAGCTCACAAATCCAAAAGATTTATTATTAGTGCCTTACTAATCCTTCATTTGTCCTGTTAATCGCAAAGCCCCTGGGAAAGGACTGGCAGCTGTATCAGCACACACTGCTGGTACTCTGAGGTGTCAGGGCCCTGTCCCTCAGCTGTGGCCAGCACACAGCAGCAGCAGCAGCCCTGTCTGCCCAGCAGATCTTTGTTCCAGGAGTGCTGCAGTGTGCTGCAGTGCAGTCCACACCGCTGTCTCCTCCCTCCCCATTGCCAGGCAGAGCACGTCCACTGCAGAGACTGGCACAGACCTGGCCCTGCTGAGCTCCCCTCCCTGTGAAACACAGCCCAGGCACCTGCAAAAGTGGCCACACCTGCCCTGCAGGGAACAGGGCT